GAATGATATGAATGAATGAATGAATGAATGAATGAATGAATGAATGAATGGAATATTTATCAAATGTGCAATATCAATGTCAAGAAATAAATCAATATGTGTGCTGATTTGGGTGAGATTGAATGTGCAAGTTTTAACATTGCTTATTATTATTTGATACAGAATGTTGACAATACTCATGTGAACCGACTATTTCAGTAACATCTATGTACATGCATAATAGTGTTTTATAATCCAGTACTGTTTCCAACTAGAAGGCACTCTCAGAGTGTAACTCTGGCACAACAGCAATGTACATAATTTTACAAATATCTGTATCCTACTGTAGAAAGTCTTTTTTATAACAAAATATCTTTATCATATTGACATAAACTTCAACATTGTATATATTGTATTTTAGACATTGTCATTCTTGCCATATTGTTATGTTAATCATTTTAGATTGCAGTAGCTATTGTCCTTTGAATTGTGTTTGTTTTGTATTTAAATTAGTTTTCTTGTATTTTATTGTCCTTGTGATGTAACCACATTAATTCCTTTCAAGAAATTTTACATGTTTTAGTCAACAACCTCATTAATTGGTCCTTTCTGACAAAGTGATGAAATTTTCCCATAACTATTTAAGTTATCCTGCTGACAAACAGAAAAATAAACAACCTATTATGCTAGCATAAACATTTACCTTCTTGGTGGAAGTAAACACACTTTTTTATCCATATTGCATCTGTGCATGTTTTAAGATAAGTGGATGCACTTACATATGTAAGTGAGTGCATGATTGTGTATATGTTTATGGAGGCAGTGATCACACTGTGCATATACTGGGAATAACATTATTTATTTTGGTGCACATGCGTAGTACAAAAACTTTAACAAACTTTATAGGGAACGAACAAAGGATTAAATCAAAAAGCATGTGAGTACTTACCTGGTTGAATATGTGGATATTCAAGTGGAATGAATAAATGAATAAATGAATAGATGAATGAATGATTAAATGAATGAAAGCATGAAATGCTGGGCTTGATGGAATGTTAAGAAAGAGAGGTACAAGAAAGGGTTCTTTGCCATATACTGTTGTGTGTACAACTCACTAGTTTCATAAAATAGCATAGCTGCAGACTTGACTAATACTGAAAGCTGTACAAAAGCAACATTAAACAATTATTTATAGACATACAGCAAAATCTACATGTCTTGTTCTGAGACACTATGTCAGCCACTCTATCTCTGTTTTGCACCTTTCATCATTATAGAACAGCAGAACAAGATCAAGGGGGAAATGCCTATAAACTTTGTCATGACAACATCATGCCTCACTAAGTTTGTCCTCTTCTGGCCACTACAAACCCATCTACTGCCATATAGGCTAAAACTAACATGATTGTGAACTGATGTGTGCCTTTCAATCTATTATGACAAGTCTACAGCTGTGCCTAGACTATCATAGCATTAAAATATCATAAAATCTCATAATGGTAATACATATTACACCAAATAAAATATACCTTAAATAAAAAGAATTATTCGACTATACAGTTAATGTGTGTGGTAGGGTAGACAATACAGTGTCACCAAAAGCTTACAGTGTGCAAACTACATAAAGTGCAATACTAATATGTGCAACCAATTCACAACCAAGACAAATACATACAAGAAAGTGATAGACAAGCAGTACAAAGAAAAAAAGATGGGTCTGATCAATCCCAAGCTTGGATGCAAGCAGAGATTTCAAGAAACCAGAGTGCAATATTCAGAACTGGGAATAAAAGTGCTCAGTTCTGCCGGGGAAGAGGTGTCCAGATCAGGAATATGAGGGGTGCAGGAACATAATTCCAACTGGGGAGGTATCACATGCTCTGGGTGTGTGTTTGGCATATCACGTCAGCAACATGTTCCAAGGGATCTCATGACATTGTGGAGGGGCATGAGACGGGGTTTCAAGGTGTGTGAAGTGAAGGGATACGTTCTCAAGGACACTGGTGCATATGGTGCAAAAAAAGATTCCTCTTGGGAATAGTCCTGTGATGAGTCCTCTGCAAATATTCACCTTTCTTTTTTTTCCTGAACTTGAAGCCGCGGAATCCAGCTTGGATCTTAGCCGCAGCTTCTGCTTTTTTTTCTTCCAAGGTTTTAGGAACTCCTTCAGATGTAACAGTGAAAATGCTTATTTAGGTTTAGCAGATAGCAAGCAGATTTACCACTTTTAGTGATTTCCAGCTCAACCTTAACTGTCATGCTTTTATTTTTTATGTACAGCTACATAGCCAAATTTGTTAATTTTGGATTAATTGTACATAATCTCCCATTAATACAGATCTTGATCAAAATATATGCAGGTTCAATTTGAGAAAAAACAGACAAATGTATTTGTTATTGTCGAAAGAGTTCAAAAGACATTCAGACATAACAAGGAAACATTTAGTCAGACTTTTTCCTTCCTCTTTGATATGGACAAATTTGTTATAAAAATCTTATTTATGTTTCTTTTGTAAAGCAAATATTATTTGAGCTGTAATGTATTTTGCGAATATGAATAGAAATCAAAT